CATTTTCTCCACCTAATGAAGGCAGGAAGGCTAAATTGTCATGGATATTTCCATATGTCGTATGCCATGCTGGTTGGTTGTATGTTGTTTACTGTAATAACTGCATTAGTTTCGTTCTAAAAGAGTTGTATTTGGGCATCTTTGTATCTACATTAGTGATAAACTTGTAAGGTTAGTTTTAATGTTGTGAAGTGATTGTCAGTAGTCAACACTCGACAACAGTTCTCTAATTTACCAGTGGATGTCGAAGGTAATGACCCTTCAAACGAAAAAAAAAAAATTGTTGTCTTTCTTGGATTAGCAAACCAATATAGAAACATTCAGGTATAACAATATAAGGTTTAAGTTGAATGCTTTGTACTAGCAAACCAATATTGAACCTTTTGCCATTTCACAGATTTTGAGCTTACGAATGGCTTCAATAGTTGAATGCTTTGTACTAGCATCCTCAACCGAATAAAAAATGGTTGGTCCTTGTGGTTTGGTGAATTTGTCTATCTTTCTGATAACTGCGACTTACTTATGTTTTTCTCTAAATTGCTTCTTAACTTTGAAATTTCCTAAATGTTATATATTGTCCTCAATAGTAATGCAAGAGATGAGTCAAACAAGAGGCTTTGATTGGCTACACAACTTTGATGATCTAGGAAACATGATTTAAAATGGAAAAAGAAAAAAAGAACCAGCAATTTCCATGTTGATAGACCCTATTTTGTGTGTGTGTGTGTGTTTGTTTTGTTTCCTGACATATTTGTATTGCTATTATTGTTTAAATGTGTCTGACATACAAGCCTGGGTCTCCTTTGTTACGGTATATCATTCTAGACTTGCTAATCAATAAGATAATCTCTTACATTCTGAATTGAGGTATGCTTGGGTCATGTATCTAACTCATGGAGCAGAGTCAAAGACTAATTAGTTCTGAATCTTATAAATCAATTCATGTGTTTGATATTTTCAAACTTACTCTTTATTTGGTATTCTCAAACTCAATCTGTTGTTTCTTTAGAACTGGGATTAATCATTTCTAAGAACGCGGATGGTTTTAAATTTAATTTCAGCTTTCGCATGTGATACTAAACTAATGTATTTTTTATTTGAGTATCTGCCACTAAATAGTCATGTTTAACTGATTTGTATCACGATATGCATCTTCATCTAAGTCCCATACAAATGAAAGATGGTCCAAGTTATCTAAACTAGGTTCATGTGTGCATCCAGTTGTATATGGCAAAAAAATCTTGCAAATCACTATATAGTATGCAGTTTTACGACCTATGGTAGTTAATAAGAATAAAGAAAGTAGGATGTCATCGTTTCGATCATTATGGTTACATACTATTGACGGAGTTGATCCTTTATTCAACCAAGGAGAGATAGGACAATAAGTGCCTTTAAGACTTTCTATGAAACGAAGTAATTTTTATCGATGTATTATGTAAGAGTTACATTGTGTAATATATATTTCAACTTAAAATAGGGGGTAAATATGAGAAATGCACAACAATAAACATAGCTCAAATGCTACTCACAATTTGGTTGGTCACAAAATATCACTATATCTCAGATATACTGGTCAGAAGTGGTGGTCCTCACCACATGCAGTGGCATCAAATGGTTAAAATCAATCAAACATGATAATAAGGTAGTAGAAGATTGGCTAGAAGAGTATGACATGGATCCAAATCGATGTTTTCACAAACTTGAAATAGCAGCGACAACATAATTCACACATTAATTTGACTAATCTTCTTACATGCTCCTTTAGCTTTTCACTATATTTGGAGGACATACTGTCATTGGGCCCTCCTCTCTATAAACATGAATCATTCTACATCATGAATAAACTTTCATCAATCTTGCAAACCAACATTTCACATACCGATGAACAAATACAAGGGACAAATTTGGTATACATTAGTTGAGAACATCTTGAGAAATTAGCATTTTCTAATGTGTAATCCATGTTTAACCAAATCTGAGAACTTATGCAGTGTATTTTCAATGTTCTTCCCGCTATCCAATAGGTTTGGACTATACATTTAATTGCTACAAATGGAGTGATACTTCAAATTTCCACCTCAATTTTTTGTTTTATTTTAATTTTAATTTTGCATTTGGTTAAGAAATTGACCGTTGTACAGCGTCCTCCATTGATATGCAATATATTCAGCTCAAAGGTGATGTCATGTATTTCCAAATATTTAATTTGAATGAAATTTCTCTTAATTGGTTTGAGCATCATAGGAAAAGGTGCTAATATATATTATATTAATTATCATGCTTTAATCTCAATGTATAAGTTAATAATGCTAACCTAACTATATATTTCAAAAGTTCACGTGCAACAATTAGTATCAATAAGTGGAAGAATATCTTTGTGCCTCTTCATTACCTACAAATATGAGTTTTATTCCATTTCATTACACTAAAAATATTCCTACTTTTGCTCCTTTTAATCTCTCTTTGCCCCTTGTGGCATTATTCTCTCTCTTTTTCAAGGTTCAGACTATTCCTAGGTTGTGAAAATCCTTCAAATAGTAACACAAGAATTTGGGTCTTTTTTATACTTGGGACAATTTGTTTTCTAATCCTTTTTGTACTCGCAATTATTATTGTACCTTGGATTGTAGATTTGGTATTTGTATTTATTATTTGACAAACATCTACTAATACATCCTAATTACAATATATGAACTAAATACACCTTTATTTTAGGTGAAAAATGGATGGATGGATGGAAAGTAAGATATAAAATGCAATTTTCCTCTATTTGGTTAGAATGCAAAGATGGATGGAAAAACAATTCCTCCCACACACAAAATTTGATCCCTCTGAAAATGGGAAAAAAATGGCCAAAAGAGCCTGACATGATGTTTGAGATGGGATCCACATCTTTTAAGTAATGGTTACTTACCAGTTACTCATTTCTGCCTCATTTCTCTGGTCAATATATTATTTATATTTATTAAGGGTGTTTTTGATATTTTAATAGAACTAACGTTCTTTTATTCTTTTTCATATCAAATAAAAGAATAAAAAAATTATTCCTTTCACTTTTTTACCCCGCTTGCCAAACATAAAGATGAAAAAAAAAAAATCCTTCAAACATGGAAAAACTATGGGCCTGTTTGGTTTGCGTTTCAAAAAATAGTATCCGAAAATAGTTTTGAGAAAAGTTTTAAAAAAGTGGTTTTGATATTTTTTGAAATAAAAAACTTGTTTGGTTAGATGATTTCAAAAACAATTTTACAATACAGAAAATAATAAAACCTGTTTGGACAGCTTAAATATATATTTGAACAGTAATTTAAATATTAATAAAATATATATATATATATATATATATATATATATATATATATATATATATATATATAAATATATACATATATATATATATATATATATATATATATATATATAGATATTATAAATATATAAATCTATATAAATATGTATTCATAGAAAACTCTGAAAACAAACTACACTTATTTTCTGTAATCTATATAAATATGTATTCATATTATAAATACACTTATTTTCTGTTTTTTTGACTCAAATCTCATTTTTTTTTCAAAATTTAGAAAACAGAAATGTTAAACAAATACGTTTTGAGTGTTTTTGAAATTCTGAGAACAAAAAACTGTTTCTGAGATGATAACCAAACACGGCTTACTACTCCTATTTTTTCATCTCTTTACTTTTCTATCATCCCAACTAGACGGACTATTATTTTAACACTAAACTAAACATTTTATTGATACATGTCACCTTGCACCATTGACCTAAAACACATTTAATGCAACTTAAATTTCTTGTTCTTGTCGAAATCTTTATTGGTCCCATGAAATTTTTTGAGACAATGATTTTAAAGATTAGCAATTTAAAGAATAACATCCCATTCTATAGTATCATTTTAACAATTTAAAATTTTCGTATTTTTACTCTATCTTACCCGCATAGCATCTCATTCTATAGCATCATTTTAACAATTTAAAATTTTTGTATTCTCATTCTATAGCATCATTTTAACAATTTAAAATTTTTGTATTCTTATTCTATAGCATCATTTTAACAATTTAAAATTTTCGTATTCTTACCCTATCCTACCCGAATAGCATGCCATTCTATAACATCATTTTAACAATTTAAAATTTTCATATTCCTATCATATCCTACTCGCATATATATGGTAATCCCTAAAAAATAAAATTCAAAAATCTAGAAACCCTAATGTTTTAGTGATGTTTATGACTTTCTTATATATAATGTACTGATATTTATGGCTTTCTTGATATATTTTATTATAATTGTTTATGTATTATTAAATTGTGTTTTCTTTAGTGTCGTTGGTTTATTGTGTTAATCATGTTACTTAATTAAATTGTTAAAATAATTCAAAAATTAATAACTAAAAAATATGTATTCATCCGATTTCCTACTCTATTTTCTACTCGATTATTTTGGACGGAATTTGAGTAAGAATAATACATTTGATTGGTTAGGGTAAACCAAGAAATTTTTTTTTCACAAAATAATGGATAGAGAGATAAAATACCATAATTTTTACCGATAGGATTGGGTGAATACGCTTAGATATCACACATTGGGTTGCATATTCTGTAGGAGTCAAACAAATCAATATTAAGCTCATTTGCTCAGCCTTACACCACTAGCAAATATCTCCAATCAATGGTGACAACAAGGAACTTTTTTCAGTCAAGGCACTTTGTCTGGGGGCTGTACACGACTGGTACAGAATGACCGAGGTGATGCTCTAACTTCCAATTCTTTAGCATCACTTAATTAGCATCTCATTCTATAGCATCACATGGTACAGCATCGCTTACTTAGCAAGCATCACTTAATTAGCATCCCATGTGATGTTATATAGATGTACATACACGCACACACACGAAATGTACTCCTGTGGGAATGATCTTTGCAGCTGTGGTGAGCTTGAACTGGTTGGGGAATTTGGATTAAAAGAGGAAGAAATGGCGTCGATTGCGGAAGGGCCGTTGCCATTTAAGGTTTCTGGAGAGCAGAATTCGTCTTCGAATCCGACGGACGCGGTGATATTCGTTGGAATTAGTCTGGTTTTAGGAATTGCTTGTAGGCATGTACTCAGAGGGACACGGGTGCCTTATACAGCGGCTTTGCTTGTGCTCGGCATTGGCATGGGATCTTTAGGTATACCAATCACATCTTTCATTTTTCTTTGAATTTCTTCATAATGTTTTACTTATTTTTATGTCATTCGTTTTTTCATTTTGTTTGTCAGAAGCGGGTGCTGAGACCCCATTCCAGGACAGTTCATTTTGCTATGCTTTTTTATTTAGCCCATCACGCTATTTTTGTATGTATAGCCTATGTATTGGGCAGCAGCTTGTTGGTAGTGTTACTTGTGCGTTCATAAGTCTTGACGCTTGGTTATGCTATTGCTCAGAAGTCTCTTGGGCAGTGTTTTAGAATTGGACCGGATCAGTTGGTCAGATCGGTTGGACCGTGAACCGAGGCCTACACTGGTCCGATTCTTGAGTTAGACCATATAAGAAAGTAAACCGGTTTATTAAACGTTAAACCGGCCGATTTTGTCCAAAACCTGGGACGCTTTGAAATTTAAATGATATTTAAACAAAAAATCCATTTTGGCAGGCGGATGGCAAGTTCTTCTCTCTCTGTGTAGGCCTCGTTTTACTCACAGATGGCAGACGACGTCTCCTTCCCGAGGCTTAGTTGAATGTGCAACTTTGATTTTAATACCTACACAACCTGTTCTTTTAATTGCACAATTTTATCTCTCCCTCTCTTTTAATTCCATTTTGTCAAAAATTTTGTGATAAATTAATTTTTGGGTTCACTATTAATTTTTCACTTACCTATATTTCTTTTTTTTATTTTTGTCAAAATCCTAAATTTTAGATTAATTATTATGTTTATAATTTTTTATATATTTTTATTTTTTGACCGGTCCGACCAGTTGACTCAATGGTTGAACCAGTGAACCATTGATCCAGTCTCTTTACCGGTTCGATGTCCGATCTAGTTATGATAACTATGCTCTTGAGTATTTATATGCTTGTATCGATAATGTTATTTGTGCATGCTCTTTATCTTGTGAAGAAAGATAAATTTTAAATTTCAAAAATTGCTTTCTTAGAATAGTGAAAAATAAATTTCCATTAGCTCAAGACTCACAACCAAAGTTGAAGAAGAACGAAGAAATTAAAATATAACTCCCAAAATGGGAGAAGAACAAGATATTTATTATTATGGAGATATCTAAGTTACAATCAAAAACTTATAAAAGGGAAAGTAGAAACAAACTTGCAATTGTTGTTGGTGATTTGTTTTTTTGTTGGCTTAGTGATTTTGGGGTGGTAGGGGGTTTATTTATAGGTGACTAGAGAAGGGTTTAGAAGTTCAAGGTAAGTACAGGTTTGAAAGGTTCAAAAATTCTAACTTAATGGTAAGAAGGTGAATGTTCTAGATGTTGGTAGAAGAATATAAAGTGCAAACATATTCTACAAAGTTCTAAATACAATAATTACCAACAATTTACTTTAAACTTTTAACATATCTCTCCCAACATCTTGTGCGCATGTTAGGTGTCAATAATCTGCGGATTTTAGTTGTCAGACATGCCAACGAGATGTGTTTGTCAGTGTGTTGTCTAATCGTATGTGCACACTAGTGTCATTCACAAAGGTCCAAATGGCTCTTTGGCTTCTCTTGACTGGAGGATGTTGGGAGCAGGGGCACTGCATGGTCTATCTGCTGCGTAGAATATGAGGGCATGATTGTTGGGTTGTGCAATGAAGAGATACCCGTCATTACCCTTTTTATTGACTTTACCACTTACTTTTCAAAAGAGAGCAATATGCAAACATTGTTTTATAAATTGTCCGAAGTTTAGGATTATTCCGTTTAGCCTCCCTGTCCCGCAAAATGACACTTTCACTTATTCAATGAATGTGGAAAAATAAATCTCGTTAGTTATTTCGAGCTTTGATTATTAATATACGCAAACACAAATTTGCACATACTTGATATGCAACATACTTTACAATTTAACCCTAATTAATAAATTATTGGCTGTGCATGATACCAAGATTGCCGATTAATTATATTGTAACCAGCACAGAATATTTTATCTTAACTCAAAAGTTTTTTAAAACTTATATCCAAAATATTTTAATTTTTAAATTATTTTTCAAATCTAAGTAATTTTAAAAACACTAGTTAGAATGACATTTTTAGTTGAATCAACGTTTTATCCAAAAACTCTCTAAGAACCAACGTTTTAGGATACCTTTATTTTTTAAAAAAAAACTCCACATAAACGTCGGTCTGAGTGACGTTTGTAAACGCATTAAAAAACGTTGGTTCAACCAACGTTTTTATTGTTGCTATTCAGCCCCTTTCTCTTACTCTCTGCCTTCATTCTGTCATTTTCCCCAATTCCTCATTCGAAATCACAAATGGGCCATTCCACCACGAGCAACACCACCACCACCACTAGCCCACAGCCCCACCACCACTACCACCATCCGAAACCACCACCATCACTATCCCACAGGCCCAGCACCAACACCATCCGAAACCACCACCATCACTATCTCACAGGCGCAGCACCCCCACCATCGGAAACCCACAGGCCCAGCACCACCACCATCCGAAATCCCCAGACCCACAACCACCACAATCGGAAACCACAGCCCAGTCCCAGTCCCAGTCCCAGCAAAACCACCATTGACTGTTTGTGGCCACCGATTTTCTGGGTTGAACTCTATCGGAGTTGGTGATTTCTTCAACTGGTATGGGTTTTTTTTCCTTCTTGTCTTCGGGATGTGTTGTTCTATAAATGTGTGGTTTGTTCATAATCTGTATTGGGTTTTTTTTTCTTCTTGTCTTGGGGATGTGTTGTTCTTTGGTTTTTTCTTGTGGTCTTGCTGGGTGCACATTGTGCCATTGATGGCACATTGCATTTGTTTCTCAAACGTTTTAAGGTCTTAAAAAACGTTGGTTGAACCAACGTTTTTAAGGTCGAGGCAGAAAAGAAAAAGGGCAGAGGGATCTGGCAGATGATAAAAACGTTGGTTCAACCAACGTTTTTTAATGTGTTTAGAGACATCAGTCATACCAACGTTTATGTGTGTTTAAAAAAAAAATAAAGGTCTCCTGAAACGTTGGTTCAAGTGACGTTTTTTGATAAATGTTGGTCCAACTGACATCTTTTAAGCTAAAAGCGTCATTCCAACTAGCATTTCTAAAATTTTTTGGGTTTGGGAAATAGTTTGAAAACTACAATTTTTTGGGTATAAGTTTTAAAAACCCCTTGGGTTAGGGTAAAAGCTCGTTCTCCCTGTGGTATTCTTTTATGTTCTCTTTTTTGTTGAGGGTTGGGGGGAGGTGGGAGGGGCTTCCGGACTAAAAATAGGGCCGACAGTGGAACTTAGTTAGTTATAGGTCCCTCTGTTTTATAAGCCATTTTATCTAACAAACATATTTTTTCTGCTAACAATGCCATATATATTCGTGTTTTGTGTTTATTTTGGTTCATTTTAGAATCTGATGGACGGATAAATATGCAGAATATGGTACAAGTCACCGGTTAGGAAAGATTGGTGATGGCATTCGTCTTTGTAAGTTCATTCTATAATTGGCATGAGATGAGTGTTTTGATGCTTTCCAATATATTTTGATAGAAGAATATACTCTCATTGTTAAATTATAAGCTATTAGAAGGACCTTGACACTGTAGTTGTTGATGACAGGGGCAAATATTGATCCCAACCTTTTGTTGGCTGTGTTCCTTCCTGCTCTTCTTTTTGAGAGTTCATTTTCTATGGAAATACACCAAATAAAGGTGGTTTTTCTCTACTTACTTTCTCATCCTGAGCAATCAATTGAGTTTGATGCGGGAAGTGATTATCTGCCTCTCTCCCTGTGTGTGTGTGTTGGGGGCTGGCGTAATGTAGTTCTATCTTTCTTTTTTGCTCTAGAGAACTACCTAGCTTACTGTGAAACTTTGAACAGTGTAGGCATGCGTAGACAAATATGTATAAACTAAGGGTAAACGTTGCTAGTTGCTAGACTGAGATATAGTCTCTAGACTTGCCAAAAGACTATAATAAGGTCTAGATAGCTATTGGTAGATGAATATTTGAAGTACCCTTAAAATGTACACATAGTAAGATTTATTTATTTGTTTTTTTGACATATTATTCTAAATATAAGCTCTATACAAAATATAAAATCTAATGAAGAATTTTATTTATTATTTATTTTAGCATTATTAAATTATTTAGGAAGTATTTCTTTGATTACGAAACTATTTAAAAGAGTTTGATTAAAAGATTTAAATAGAGTTTTACTAGGAGAGTAGTTTGAGAATTTGATTATGAAACTATTTTAGAATTTTAATAGGAGTACTTGTTTTGGTATGAGATTTAGCCTAAGAAGTACGGACACGGACATGACAAATCTAAAAAAAGTAGGACACGAACATGTTGTAGATAATTGTGTTTAGCGGGGGACGCTTGCACTCAAGTTTTCTTTGCATCTCGTGCCTTGAAACCTGGATGGAAAGTGTTGTCCCAAGTGAAAGCTGGTGTCCGAGGCTCCGCCGCTTGAAGAGAGTGGCTTCATCACAAGTCCTCAATACAATATTCTCACAAGAAAGATAAGGTTCCGATGGGAACCTACTTTTGAATTCTTTTGGATAGCCGAGACCTAATCCGGTAGAAAGTCTTCTTGCCACTATTCGCATTCACTTCGGTGGTCTCTCAAATGATACAATCAGTAGTAAACACACTGAGATTCTTCCTAATCTGAGGATTAGGTTCAGTGTTTTATGATAAGTAAATGTTATCTCTAGTCATTTAGTGTGAATATTTATGCTAGCATCATAATAATAAATAATTATCAATTTTTTCTTAGACATGTATTGTACATATATAATTTAAATGATTCCTCTCATCTCGATTGCTCTTTTGTAAATCTTTTGTGTCGTTTGCTTTTATTATTATACTTTAACATGTCTAGTTTTGGTAATTTTATGTTCTCTCATAATATAAGATACTTAATAGTCAAATTTTTAAGGTTGTTAAACACATGTTTATTGTTTAGTAGTAGACATGATTTAAAGAGGTATTGGACACGTCACTAAAGAAGTGTCGGACATTTATCCAAAATTAAGATTTTATTATTTGATTATGGACACAGATCAAAGAGTATCAGATCCGTGTCCGAGAGTGTTGGTGTCCAACACGTATCTGATACAGACACGTCACCTTCTTGAGAGTATTTGTGCTTCATAGCCTATAAATATAAATGGAGTGATATTAATAAAAGTTAGGAAACACGGATACGGACACAGATGTCGTATTTGAGATGGTACGGACATGGGGATACGATAAAGTTAAAAAATATAAGACGCGGATACTTTCTTAATATATCATAATATATTTTTTAGATAATAATAAAATTATAATATATTAAGGGCAAGACACATTTTATAACAATATTAATGATAAAATCTAGCAAATATTAATTTTTTTGATTAAAATTGAAATAGATTAAAATAAACATCCATTATTTTCATCCGACACAAACATGCGTCAAATACGGTCAATCACGTGTCTAACACGGCTAGAAGTGTCCCAAATAGTAAACTCAGTCGAACATGGCCGGGATACAACTAGTATGCGATTATGACAAGGCCAAGATTTTTTTTTTTTTTTAAAATGACTATTAACTATTAAGAGGGCTGCCTTTTGGTCATTGATAACCCAAGAATTGCAACAAAAATCAAAAAATTGTGATGATGGGAAGTAGTAAATATTGCTAGGGGTCAATCACGCCAAGCAACAGGTGACCTTGTTGGAAAAAGACGTCCTTTTCCCAAGTTCTCTTGACCCAACCCAATTCCTTTTTCCAAGCCATAAACCAAATAAAACAAAAGAATGAGGACCAGTTCAACCCAGATTTAGTCTTGGCCATAATCCAATGACCATATTAATTAACCTTTGTCCAACCCAAAGTCTTGTCCAACCTATATATATATATGAAAAAAATAGTGGAAATTAGAAGCAAGTACAATATGACAATCTATTTTGCCAATAAATACAAGCACAAACTTATTGGGTCATTAAAAACACATGATATGTACTATTTGTTAAGCAGATCCATAGGATTTTTTCTTTATTATTATTATTTTATTTCCTACTTTGATATTAAATTATTCTCTCTCCCCTCTATCTATTTTGTCACACTTTCTCTTTCCTCTCTTTTCCTTTAATTTCTTTATCCTCTTTCTTGTCAATCTCTCTTCTATCTTTTATTGAAATATCTCTATCCTTTTTCTTCCATTCCACTCATTCTCTCTCCAACATCTCTTTCATCCCACTCTTTCTCTCTTCCTTCAATTTCTATCTCCTCTCTTTTCCTTCAATTTCTCTATCCTTTCTTTGAGTCAATCTCTCTTATATATTTATTTAAATTTTTCTCTCTTCTCGTTCATCACACTCATTTTTTCTCCTCTCTCTTCCATCTTACTGATTCTATCTCCTCTCTCTGCCATCTCACTCCTTCGATCTAAACCTTGTATTACTATTTTTAACGCATCTTGTTAAGCCAGTTTATGTTCAAATCAATGTGGATATTGGCTCATCATCTATAGAAAGGAGTGTCATCTGTCTTGACCTTCGATGTATCACAAGTATTGTTGTTGAGATTGCAATCTTTAAAGAGGTTTGTGTATACTTATTAGTTTATATTGTGAAAAATTTCTCTTATTTTTGGTATTTGTTTTTTTTGTGGGATAGTCGTTTGATTAACTTATTGTGTGATATAGGCGTTTTAGTAACTGTGATTGTGGGGTATTTTCACTCTCCTTGGACACTGTCCTAGGACAGTAATAGTGGGATTTTTTCACTATCCAAGACAGTGACAATGGCGTTGTCATTGTCCTAGGAAGTTATATATATGTATACATACGACGACGATATATATATATATATATTCGTCTTTATTGTCGTAATATGCGTTTTTTATTTTTGCATATATATGTGTGTATGCATATATTTAAATTTTGAAAGTTCTAAATTGAAAGAGATTTGAATTTTTTTTGAATTTTGAAATGTGGATTTTATATGAATATAATTAAACTTTCTATATATATAAGAGGGATAGAAAGAGTTCTAATTATGAAAGACCTAAACTGAAGGAGAATTGATTTTATTTGAATTTTAAATTGTGTATTTTATATGGTTATTATTAAATTTTATATTTTTATTTAAATAAAGACAAATGGATTTGCCCTTAAAAGACCCAGAATAGGTGCTTGAACCTATTGCCGTATTAGATTATAAGACTAAACCGGCCTAAAAAAAAACTCAAAAAAATATATAGCCCTTGAGGGGAAAAAAGGGTTCCATGGTCTAACCCAAACACTTCTGATATTATAGTTTCTACCACAAAAATTTTAGAAAATACACTTGGCCCCCAAACGTTTAAAAAAATTATATTTTGACCCCAAAAGTTTTAAAAATTACAGTTTGGCACTAAAAGTTTTTGAAATTATAGAAGACCCCAAAAATTTCATAAATTTCTCAAAATTTTTTGACAATCAATATGATTAGCAATGCCAAACTAAGAGCTAAAGTTGAAGCCCATGATTTGTGACTAGATTCACATCAAGCATCGATGGATTCACTCCAAACATCTATGAGTTTGCTCCACACATTAGTGGAATATTTACGTACAGGTATACACAAGTTAGCTACTATGTTTGGAGTTAAGCTCCCAAAACGAACTTAGAGAGTAAGGGAGATATTGATTCATCTTTTTTATCCATTAGTCATCAACAAGTGATTGATCAAACTCTACCATCATCACAAGTTCCGATCTAGCTAGATGATAAATCAAAATTACTTGACATTGATGAGTTTAAAAGTTCTGCCTCATCCTATATCAATTGCTTTTGATAAGCCGATTTCAAAGGATGATCCTACGTATGAAGTTAAACAAATTTCAAAGGGTGTCGCTTCATGTGGATTGTTACTTTGTCTTCATCGGTTTATATGTTTCCTTTACCTATAATAGTGTATGTAGACAAAATTGTGAAGGATGCAACGCATCAAGACATTGTTTTTTACTATGGGGATTCTTCAAATCTCTTGTAGTCCTTCCCTTATAACTCGTCGGAGAAGGGTTTTCTTCAACTGGAGAGAATTGATAGAAATTGAAAAGGAATTGGATAAGCTTGACTTGAAGAATTTTAATTTATTATTTATTTTAGCATTATTATATTATTTAGGAAGTATTTCTTTGATTAGGAAACTATTTTAAAGAGTTTGATTAGGAGATTTAGATAGAGTTTTACTAGGAGAGTAGTTTAAGGGTTTGATTATAAAACTCTTTTAGAATTTTAGAAGGAGAGTAATTTTTATTTTGGTAAGAGATTTAATTTGTAAATATGAATGTAATCCCGACTATTTCATGGTAGAGAGTGGTATTTCTCTGTGGAGAATTTGTGTATTTCTTGACTGATTCCTTGTGAGGATGAGATAAAGCCCTTCCACCCTTCATCTCTAATTCTTCTTTTCTATTCACTTATTTCTTCCTCTTGTCATCCATCAGAATTACTTCCTTTTCATTTTGCGGAGCCATATTGGAAATGGAGTCCTACTAATGATAATTTTAAATGGCACGTGATTGAAGAAGGATAGACACCAGAAATATGTTTGCTAGTTGCTACGAGTAGGGGTACAACTCGGGCGGGTTGGATAGTCAACTCTAGGTATATAATCTTCAACCTTAACCCTAACTCTAACCCTACTTCGGGTTGAGAAACTCAACCCGAGCACTGTCCGAGTTTAATTCGGGCGGGTTCGGGTTAAATTCGGGTTAATGATTTTGAGCTTATTTCGGGTTACTTTACGGATTTAATTCGGGTAGAGCCCAAAATAGGCTTGTTGTTCTAAACCTAATATATATATTACATAATATTTACCTAAATTAATAACTAATAACTGCAATCAAGTTTTTAACAGTGCTAATACTAGAACAAAAATGAAAATGAACGAGAGAGACAGAGAATGATAAAACAAAAATAAAAAATCAGTACTAATGATTTATATATATATATAATTTTTTTTTTAATTTGTCAGGTTTGGGTTGAACCCGTGAATCCGAGGCCTTAATCTGAGCCCAACCCAAATTGAATTCGGGTTGGAGTTTTTTGACCCAAACCCAACCCAAGTATTTAAAACCCTCATCCAAACCCTAATTTTTTCAGGTTGGGCTCGGATTGAAATTGGATTGCCCAACTCAAGTTGCACCCCTAGCTACGAGTTTGTCATTGAAAACTTCTTTGTTTTTGTTCTGTTCTCTATATATAACATAATTTGAATCTTTGTGGTGTAGCTTAAAAGAAGGAATGAATTCGTTTAGTTTTACTTAGTATGTTTACCAGCAAACCAAATAATTTTACTAGTAAAGAGGGTTCCTTGTTAATCCTAATACCATGCTTCTGTTTTTGAAAAGAAGGCACTTTCTGCTTGAGAGACATGCTTGCCTTCAAAGTCTATCTCAAACCACCTTGGAAGACTCCTTATGATAAGGGGTGCAATTCCAGTGGGTTGGGTGGGTTGAGAGGTTATCACGAGCTCAATCCAAGGTATAAAACCTTTGGCCCAAGCTCAACTTGAATCGAATAATTTAACCCCGAGTATTGTCCATGTTTTTTTGAACATGGCATAACTCATGTTGGAATTTGGGTTAAATTTTTGGATGAAAATTCTGGTTCAGTTTAGGTTGCATTCTCAGGTTAATTTGTGCCGAAGTTAGAGTTCGCATTCCGAATCCACTAATTTGGACTATGTTCGAGTGTTGGGTCCCAAAAACTTGATACCCAAACCCGAGTTCTTCATGAATCTTGGTCGGGTTCAAATTTTTTTTCCCAAGTCCAACTCAATTGTTGAAAATATCTGCCCAAATACTGAATTTTTCAGGTTGGGTTTGGATTGAACTGCTCAAATTGCACCCTACATATGATGACTTGGAAGCCCTCATCAGAATTGATAAGTAGATTGTGCTACCCCCGGAAAACTTGTTCTAATATGGGTTTTTTTTGCATGGTATTTCTGGTCTGAACTTGGCACAACACTTCCTCAAGGTTTGGGCTTCTAGTATCATTCACTCGATACCTAATTACCTGTAAACTGTTTTCCTACCGTAAAGCTCATTACAATTATCATTGTAACCCCACTTTCTTATCTCTTATTATTTTTTTTTTGTTTCCTGTTACCTCAAAACAAGGGAAAACTTGATTTACATTAGTGTTGGGAAATATTTTTTGATCATCATGTGTTGGCTTGTAAGCTGTGTTGTGAACAATTTATTTGTAATCATGATCTTTGGTGGAAAATGGCAATCCCTTTAAAGAAGGAGACTTATGGCAATATGCTAGTTGAGGCCCAGTTGGCAGCCATCGATTACACCCATCAATCATTGCAATCTGACACAAAACTGTTGCTGGTCAAACATGAAAACGTGATTAAAAGTGTCAGCATTGTTGTTATAAATGGTGGCCTTTGGCTTCACTTCTTGTCCCTACAATGTTTTTCCTATTGCTGCATGCTTGCATGTCTTGTTTTCTTTGAAATGTTTGGTTCGATATCATTGTTAGCCGATGATGATGCTATCTGTTCCTTGATGTTTTAGGATTTTCGTTGATCCTTAGTGAGACAATTGTATTTGTATTCCCAATACAGCGGTGTATGGTACAAATGCTTCTACTTGCTGGGCCTGGTGTTCTCATTTCAACCTTTTTTCTTGGGTCTGCTTTAAAGGTTTGCAAAATCTGGATGTGTTTTGTCTGTAGCGCTTTTATTTAATATCATCTAAAATGATAACATGCTGTAGCTCACTTTTCCATATGACTGGAGCTGGACAACATCATTGTTGCTTGGTGGACTCCTTAGTGCAACTGATCCTGTGGCTGTTGTGGCCCTTCTGAAAGAGCTTGGTGCAAGCAAGAAATTAAGTACAATAATTGAAGGAGAATCCTTGATGAATGACGGGTACAATTAAGAGTACTGCTAATTAAATCAGAATTTTTTTTAATAGTGAATCACTTAATATTGGTAGTATATTTAATAATACTATATTGTCTTTCGATGTTTCATTTGTTTTTCACAAGTTTAACATATTTGGTTTCATTTAATGAGCTAGATTTCTTTTTATAGGACGGCGATTGTGGTCTATCAGCTATTTTATCGAATGGTCCTTGGCTCGAGCTTTAACTGGGGGACCGTAATCAAGTTTTTAGCACAAAATTCTCTTGGGGCGTATGTACTTTTTTACTTTCAATGAATACCAATAGCAAATATAAATTGCCTGACAAGACACTTTTCATGGTGCAGCTTAGGGCTAGGCCTTGCTTTTGGAATAGCATCCGTTTTGTGGCTTGGATTTATATTCAATGATACTGTGATAGAGATTACACTTACACTTGCTGTGAGCTACATTGCTTACTTCACTGTATGAACCTTCCCAATCTTGGAACTCCTGACTTTTACATATAAAATATTTTCAGCATCTCTGATGTATAATTAATCTTTAATGAGATGAATTCCTGTGTTGCGATTGCTGCTTTCTTGAGCTAAAGTTGAATTTTTGTTGAAGTAGATTAACCGCTTAAGATTTTACGTGAGTTTACTAGCAATAACCCCATATCAGAATACACTCTATAATGCCAAAAATTGAGTGTTGATCGTGCCACATTTATATTTTAAATAAGATTTATTTTTTATTTTATTTTTTTAATTATATAATTTAAAATTAAAATAAACAGAGAGAAAATAGAAGAGATAGAGAAGAGAGAAGAGTGAGGAAAGAGGTAGGTGCGGATTAGTGGGGTTATTTGGCATTGGAAAGTGTTTGATTGAATTGTTTGATATTGGGGGCCGTGGAGAGAAGATGATGTTTTTGAGTGGGAAATATTTTTTTGGTATGAATTTTGTGTCTTTGGATCAATCTTGATTGTTTTTGTGCTTTTATAAGTTAAGAATTCAATTTCCTCACTAATATTAGATAGATGTTTAACATCGTATCAGAACTGTATTGGGGAAGCCCTTGCCCATGCCATAATTACTACTTGCTGTGTTTTCAATTATGTTTCGGGATTATTTTATTTATCTCTCCATGTGCAAGTGGGGTATGTGTGAAGGAGTATTTTTAGAGATCATCCCACATTGGCATAGCAGCGTCTCACAAATTAGTGCACGGGCCTCAGAGTCTCCCCAATCATTTCCAATTTGTTTTAGTTCAATGCTCAAGATAGTATCATAGTTGAAGTTCCTACGATTGAATCTTGCCATTACACCAATGATTACGGTACTTGCACGTGCTTGGTCCAAACTTTAGCCCGCATATGAGGAGCTATGTTGAAGTATACAAATATCTATGTTGCACCCTCTAACTACTTAATGCGTTTAGTATTTTTAAACCAATTTTATGCATCAGTTATCTGATCTCTGCTAAAGTGATTGTTGAGTTTTTTAGTCCCTCCCTCCTAATAAAGAGAATCATTGGTGCATTGCATAATTTTCGAGTATGGATTCAGTCGGACAAAGATGGATTGCCATTAATTGGAGCAATTACTTGGATAATCTTGGGTCATAGTTTTTTGCAACTCAATTCTTCATCTGGCTTTACATTCTTACCTCTTTTTACTGCTGCATTTTTTCTGGCAGTATTGGTTATAGCTTATATCAAAATTTAGATTCAATTCCAGTTAATTACTTCAATTTTTTTTTTTTTTTTTTAAAGAATTGATAATCTTTTGCTGTTTGTGTAACATATCCTTTAGTCATAACAGCTACTTAATTGTTGAATAATTTGAACTTTTAGTATTCGATTTCAAGTATTTTTTTTTTTTTTTGCTAAGTTCGATTTCAAGTATTTGATGAAACTATTAAAGCTATGTTTTTTTCCTTTTTTTTTTTTGGCTGAAGCACAATATGCTAGAAGCTTTGAATAGTAGCTTACTGTGTTACCTTTTCGTTTCTTTCTCCTAAAATTGTGATGCTTTCTACCCTTCAAGCTTGCTTTTCTGGTTTTATGTATCCTATAACTTTTGAATGCTTAGATCAAACTCTACAAATGCAAGAGAGAGAAGAGATCTGTCAGCTACTCTATATTTTTTTATCTCGTGAAAATAGGTACAAGAGTGGATACAAAACCTGAAAGCTAGATTGTTGTTAAGAAAATAACAAAAAATATAAATACAATATTAACCCCTCCTTAAGCTCATGATGTGTCAGGAAAACAAAATTGTGTGAAATCTGAATGGCTTAGCAATAGTCAACTAACCTATCTTAGATGTACTTATAATCTTAGTACGATATTCAACCTTAGTGGAATGTGTGACGATGGTCTTCTTTTTTGTTTCTACAAGAGATAAGAAATCACTATGAAAAATTTGAAAAAACAGTTGTGAATTTACTAATCATGACATCACTTTCCTAGCTAGGATAAGAAAAGCACAAAACTCCAAAAAACAAGTGGAAGAAACACAAACTCTGATGTCAAATGTTTTAAAGATATCATAAAATACAAAGAACTACAGGCAAATCAGCTGTAGCTGAAGTATAAAAAATGACGTAGAAAATGAGTAGCATAGGCAATGCCAGGTCTTGTAATAATGAGGCATACCAATGTGCCCACAACAACACAAGGTAGAATCAACAAAGGACTACCATTAGTATAAGTGTAATGTAAGCTAAGAGGAGCCTAAAAAAATTCTGAGAGTATGTTTGTCAAGCCTAGTGTTTAACATAAACTGTATACTTTGATTGAGAAGGAATACAACCTTTAGGAGCGAGTCACATTAATTCAAGAGATATTGCGGGGACTAAGGTTCTTCATCTCAGTCTGTTGCTGTAACTGAGACTCTAAGGCAAAAACTGTCTTCAGAGGCAATTCTAGTAATGATTATATCATTAGCATATAAGAGGAGAACATTCTGACCAATGGAGTTCGAACGAAGAAAAAAAAGCATAAAATCCTGATGACTGGGACAAAAACCCAAGCCATGGATCACAATGGAGAATTTTTCAAATGAAGCCTGAGGAGCCTATTTGAGACGATTCAAAGATTTTCAAAGTTTGCATACATCACCTGGAGCGTGAGGGACATCTAGGAGGAACTATAAAAACTTAGCCCGAATCACCAATCAAAAATTCATTGTTACATCCATTTTAGATAACTTATATTGACAAGCGATTTGTAGACTATCAAAGTATGAACATTTGGTTATCTTTGCAGCAGTGGTATACGTCTTCATATGATCAATGTCATTCCTGTGCCATACCCTTAGCAATCAATCTTGTCTTATATCTTTCAATAGAATCATTAGCTTGAGTTTTATATCTTCCAACAACCAATTCCATGCTCAGCTGAAGATAAATGGGCTGGATCTTATATCTGAGTTTTATGTAATGTAGAGAGTGCTTCATTCATAACATGTTGTCAAATACGATCAAGAGCAATGTCTCTATGTGAGGTAGGTATAGACTGAGAGTGAATGAGAGATAAAAAGAGTAAAATCCAGAAAACCCAATGGAATTGCAACTATTTGAAAAAACTAAGACGTTCAGGATATTTACAATGTGATTGAGATAGTGAGAAGAGTAAGGATCTTCATTGTTAGAAACTAATGGAGATGTCGTTCAGAGAGGTTTTTCTACCTAGAGAGTAGCCAGTCTTGTTCTTGCGAGAATAAGTACCAAAATAGGAGCAACACCACTGCATAGGAGGCAGATTGAGACGAGATTGAATGGGAAGCATGCCACACATGTAAGAATCACTAGAAATGACATTAGGAAAATGGTCGATATAACGGAGGACAACTTTAATGAAGATGTCATGAGTAGAAAGAAAGAAATATGCTCAAGGAAAGACTCTATGCCTGGATGCATACAATCTTTTGGCAATAGCATCATAACAACAATATGCCTTTTGTCCATTAGAATAACCAAGGGAAATATACTTAGCTGAATAAAAGCATGTAACTTATTCTGTCAAGTTTAGGAAGAAGAACAAATAAGTACAACACAACATATGGAAAGAGAATTGGTCAGGAGGTTCCTCATAATCGTTTGAAAGGAAGAGAAACACTTGACCTAATAACAGAAGGAATCAACACACGCATGGGAACAGTTCCTCTCCAAAAAGAGAAATGGAAAAAGGCACCGAGAACAACCACTGGTGAGCAATCTCCATGATGCATCTGCGCTTTTGCTTAACTACACCATTTAGCTAATGTGTATGGAGACAAGGACCGTTGAATAGTTCCATTGAGCCCCTTAGTTTTTTCAATCAAACATGGATAACAAACGATAGATGAGGAACAAGTCATATCCTTGAATAAAATTTCGTGCCTTAGGGTTGGCCAAATGATACTGAATGTCTTTGACAAAGATTTGAAGCAATGGTGCAAGAAATCATGTAGATGATGGCTTGGAGGGGTTGAATAGTAATGTTACCGAAACAAAAGACTATGGTAAAATATGAATGGTAAAGAGGAAGAGCAAATTGAGGGCGGCCCAATACACGGAGTCTAGCGAGGGTCAAATGCATGCAGTCTTATCCTGGCATGTGGAGTGGTTGTTTTTGCGATTCGAATTCTTGACTTTCAGGTCACAATGGAGCAACCTTACCAATGCTTCAATGTCTACCCTTTGCAAATTGAAATTGACTCCAATATCCTGGAAGCTTAAATGAAACTATAGGAGAAGGGGAAAAAAAATGCTTTTAGCTATTCTCTAAAATTCCATCATATGAGATAGAGAAAAGAGATAATATAAAATCCAATCTTATTTGGAAAAAAAGAGATAATATAAAACCCCGCAAGAAAAACGAAAATACCTCTAATTAAAAAAATTCAAGATAATTAATACAATCTTGATGAATAGATGGATACACGTCAATTCTTGATTTACCGTATGAAATTATTAATGTCTACCTAGTGTTCATTAGGACATTACATAACAAAGTACACTGTTAAGTGTAGAGGATTAATGTCACACCCTAACTGACTTGGGTGCAAATGGCCGGTCTTGGTGGCACCTTGCACCAAGGCATGCCATAAGTTGGAATCAAGGTGATGCGGCTAAGTGGTTCGACAGATTGGGGCAAACCAAGGCAGTATGAGAACACCCGATTGACCATGGCAACATGTGGTGGGCTCAATTGAAGCAATGTGGGTGCATAGTTTCGGATTGCATGGCATGGGTTACCCAACATGCACATTGGTTCGTGTAGCCAGGTTGACTGCTGAATGTGGGCACTTGACTGGCACATGACTATTCAATACATGTGACCAGGAGGATGTGGGCGGTTATGATGCTGAGACACAGTCAAGGTAGTTGCTGAGGCAGTTTTGGGCGTCCCTAGTTTGAATCCAGTCTAGATGCATGCTTATGAAGGGCAGTTCCACAGCAGTTACTGGAAGTGGTGGAACTGCCTGCCAGGTGTCG